TCCAAATAATGTACAAATTCCTAATTAATTTACAAATTAACTAAGAAAGCTGTAAACTGGCATGCAAGCCAGGGACTGCCTTGCTTCTGATGAATGGTGTATGTCTGGGCTGCCTTGCGCGGAAATCCACTGGGATGCCCCAATTAGCCTCTGTTTTGTGATTTTTCTTGGAAAGCGCGCCAAACTCCGGAAGTTTGCTGATTCTTCATTTGCTGCAACAGAGAGCAGGAAAGGGGCATAGCAATGTATTTTCACAAATATATGCATACCTCGATCCTCGTGCCACCAATCATGCATACCGATGCAAGATGGCCGAGGAGTCGAATTGCACAATTTAATATGGGATGAATGCACATGAAAACACAACGAGACCTAACTCCATCATGGATGATCCGGAGTATCGGTGACTGGGGAATTGAGACACATTCCGTCACTCGGAGTACGAAACGCACCTCGTTTCCCGCACCCGGGGTAACCCCTATTCCGAACACAATGCAATATGCATGACATGCAAGAATGCAACTAAAATACAGCCTAGCATGCACAATGCTATGAAAATGAGATGCCTCGAAATGCGTACACACGAGCACGCAAACTGAGGAAATGCATGAATGCGATCTAAGATACAACCTAGTATGCACTATGCTGTGAAAATGAGATGCCTCGAAATGCGTGCACACGGGCACGCAAACCGAGGCAATAGCATATGCAATGCAATATGGCTAAAATGGCATATAGAATGCTACATGGACTTACACTAACATGAGCGAGCCTCAGCCTTACTCACGTAAGAGGCCGATGGATGAAAATGAAGTGCCTCGAAATGCGTGCACATGGGCACGCAAACTGAGGCAATAGCATACGCAATGCAATATGGCTAAAATGGCATATAGAATGCCACATGGACTTACACTAACATGAGAGAGCCTCAGCCTTACTCACGTAAGAGGCCGATGGATGAAAATGAAGTGCCTCGAAATGCGTGCACACAGGCACGCAAACCGAGGCAATGGCATATGCAATGCAATGCAATGGCATGGAAATGATATGCAAACATGCTAATGGAATTTCAGCACCGAAATGTGGGGGAAAACAGCCCCGAAACGAGGCGAAAGCACACCCGATGCGTGGAATCTCTCCCGAAATGCAAAATTAGGCACATAGAATGAACTACAGCTATACAAAGCATGCATAATTGGTACATGGAATGAAAAGACAGAAGCAAGGCAGCCCCAAAATAAGCATTTTACCAGTACAAATCATGGCCAAACAGCAAGCAAGGATAGGGCAACAATGGCATGCAAAAATGGCCCTAAACATGAGATTATGAAGCAACTCACAACTGCTAACTCCAAACAGG